GCCAGACTGCTGTCACCATCCTCTTTAGAATCCCTGACATGTATGAATTATTCTTAGTGCACCAAATCCTTCAAGTGGCAGTGTTAATGCCTCACTGGGATAGAACACGTACATATCAGGGGCCTGCAGATATGTAATAGCATAGATAACTGGAACCTCAGTCTAGGGGAGGTTGCCTTAGCCTTATTTATCCTTCTGAACCTGGACAACTTTTTAATCATGAACACAAACCCAAGGTATGAAGCTGTCTTGTGTGTTTAAAAAGACATATCACACTGAATATAGATGCAAAACATCTGCTAAGTAATTTGCATGTCAAGCTATATATATTCAAAACCACCTTGCTGAAGCATGAAGTCTGGCCCGAAAAAATAGGCCTGTCTACCCTGAAAAATAAGGCATGCCAGTTCCAGAGGGAGCAAAATGACATTAAAAAGAAAATCTATTACCGTACTTGAAATTCTGGATGTGGAAAAAGAGACCTTTCTTGAGAAGAGACAGGAATCCACAGGAGTTGAAATTTCTGTTATTTGCTCTTCTCCATGTGCAGGGAAGGCTTTTGACAGCCAAAAATAATCCTGCACTCATTTATCAAAAACTCTGATGATAAAAATAATGCAAGCACACAGAAATACTACCTCTTTTCCAGAAATATGCAACTAGATTGCTTTGTACTTTCACATGAAAACCTGTCACATGGTTGTATCTCTTTAAGGATAAAACTATTTCTTCAGCAAAATACCTGTAACCTTAATCTGCATAGTCCTATTGGGACATATACAGCCCCATACAAATGAAGTGTCTGGGTGCTTAACTTCCTATTAGTTTCAAGGGAAATTAGGAATCAGAATGTCTTTACATGTAAAGCCCCAATGCTCTGCTGAAATAGGAGCCAAACATGTAAACTGAATGCAGATGAGAAACCTATAGCAAACTAAACTATGTCATCTGAGTTCTCATCCTGGTTCAGCATCACTTAAAGCATAGGAGAAAATTCAAAAGTAAAAAAAAAAATCCTAACAACAAAATAAATAATAGTAGGAAAAAAAACCCCAACAAACAACACCACCACAAAATAAATTTTACAAAAAGCCAGGTACAAAAAAACCCAAAAACATAGAGAAAGAACAATGAAGGAAACACATCTGATTTTCTGAGCAGTACTATATTCATTAGTCATTTTTCTGGACTATTTTGTTGTCAGAAATGTACAGAAAAATCCGTACAAGTTTTGTTCTCTGTTAAGTCCTAATGTATAGTAAAATTTAAAAGTGTGCATCTCATTTTAAAGTAAGGAACTAGAATTGTACTTGGCTACAGAAAAAACAAATGACAGTTGTGATACACAGAAATACCTTCCTGGCTGCCACCTGGTTTTCCTGCACAATACATTCTGGAAGGCAGAGTAAACAATTCATCAAGGTTAAGACTCTGCATCACACACTTACGAAACAGCAATTATATAAATAATTTTTTTAACTATCTCAACCAACACTACAGACTTATTTCTCCTCTTGCAGGAACTAAAGATGGGAGTACAAAATTTGTACAGCCTATTTTGATACCCCATTGCCATGATTTTTTCTAAGAACTGGGCATCCAAATCCTTTAGGCAATTATGGAAATGAAAATAAACTCTATATTGTCATACAGAAGAAAAAGGTCTTGACAGAATCTTGCCTATCATAAGGCAGTTTTTTTCAAATGACTCTGTTTTCCCTTAAGATAAGGAACAAACTCTCCTTGAAAGCATCAAGTCTTATTTGCAGCAGATGGAATAGCAGTTCTTATGTATCCAAAGGGTGGGAGGGAATCTGCATCCAACACCAATCAGTTAGTCATTAGATGCAGTCTAGGGGTTCCCCTGGAGGTGTCCTCCAGCATCTACATTTTTAAGTTTAAAACCTATTCAAGAAACAAGTTCAGACTAATTCTTCCCCATTCCAGTTCAGCTTTCCTTTAACATGAAAGACAGCTTCAAAGGGCAGAAGCACTTGATTGCAAGTTCCCCCTCTGTTAGCAGAAACTTATCAGCTCCCTTATCCATCCTGTTAACCACTTGAGCAAGCCCATCAACAACCACAAGTGGCCTGTCAAAAGCCAAGGTCAGAGAAGCAAGTAAGAATGAAGTTGTAGTTTGTCACCAGAGAAACAAGGTCCAAAGGTGCTCTGTTAGGTCTGCCCCTTGCCCACACTGCCCCACTGAGGGCTCTGCTGCTCTGGCTGCCAACTGCATGCAGGTCACGACACACCTGTGCCTATTTCCTCTATTTCTGCCATTCTTTGTCCTTCTGTTTCTCTTCTAACTGTTCTATTCTTCTCTTCGGTGCCTTTCTTATTCACTAGTTTCACTTTTGGTTTTACTTGCCAGTTTTGGTTTTCATAGGGTCTTTTTGAGAATGATTTTGTGCCTTTTGTTCTGTTTTTTTTCAATTGGGTCACTATCCAGGGAAACCTACAGAAGTGCCAGACAGAAGAGATGAGTGCACACAACATTTTCTTCTGTTGCTACAATACAATCCACAGGGTAAAAGATGTTGGTAAATTTAGACAATCATTTTGAGTCACTAACAAAGCAGATCGATTTAAACTAGTTTAAGCAAGTTTCTTCATACACTTGTTAGTAGCTCCCCTAGCAAGTAAGGCACTCTGGGCTTGACTTTGTATCTGTTGCAGTCAGCTAAAAAACAGCTGTACAATTTTCTTTGCCATGAAAAGATAACAATAATAATTATCATAAGCTATCTAGACTGCAAGATTGGGGAGGGAAAAAAAGTCCAAAACCCAGACCAGTTAAAAGTTTCTTATAAATAGCATCCAGCAGTTTTAATGACCAAAACTGAGCTTTAGTATCCAGCGTTCTTTTCATAGTAGATTCTTCTTTCACATCTTGCAACAAAAGTAATTTTTCACTTTCCTTTAGAAGTAGCAATTTTCTAACCAAATCTAAATTAAAAGCCTGCTCTGACACACTCTGCTAAAATGAAGATACCTTTGCCACAGGTTATATTCATTCCATTACTGCTTATGATATTATTCGAGTGAAGTAACTCTGCTATATATGAATGTACTTGAACTTATAGATAACTTCTTTTGAACCTGTACAAATGTACTTGAACTTATAGATAACTTCTGAGTTCAGTCTGGTTTGAAAATTATTTGTAAAGAAGTATGATGTGGGGGATTTTCCCCAAGTAAATGAAAAGGGCTAAATCAGTAACAAAAACCTCTTTTTGAAGTCTGTTAAATCTCTGTACCGAAAGAGTACTACCATGTTTCTGTTGTTTTGGTGCATCTCCTACGTGTAAGAAAAGAAAGGTATGTTGCAAATTGTGGAAAGATCTGTTTTGAAACCACAGACCTCAACTGCAAGATTCAGGAGGGCCTAAGTTCAACTTGATAAACTCAGTATTTCAAATTGTAAACTAACTCGTTTCTCTTCTTCCCATACTGAAATATTTCAGTGCTGTGTTGATACCAATTCACTCCAATTGATTTCCATGAAAACTGGGCCAGACCCCTACAATCATTTATAGTTTGAAATAGCAATATAATTCCATTTTCATGTACCTTTTTTGACCAATGAAGTAAATAGTGTACCTGGGGGGGAAGGGAGAAAAGAAAAACAAACCCAAACCACAACTCACCTCTACAATTTAAACTGATATAGAACAGATAGCATTGATTACAAAATTACCTTTTTAATGAATGCCACAGAGAATGTATCCCACGATACAATCCCATGATCCATCAGCTCAACAAATGCAGTCAGTGTAAAGGACAACATATCTCCAAAGCTGCAAGAGACAGGAGTCATGACAACATTTACCAGTAATGCAGCAGGGTAACGACCGGGGGAATAAAGCAGCAGGAAGCTTTCAGAAAGGCAGGAAAATGAAGCCAGTTATGGACTAAGAGGCAGCAGAAGCACAAGAGAGGCCGTGCAACAGACAGTCTCCCAAAAATTTAGCACGGACATCAAGAATAGTCACCTAGAAGAAAGCAATTTACTAAAAGAAGAACTAATCCCCAGAAGAACACTGCATGCAATGCTCAGGAAAATCAGATAGTCCAAATTAAACTTCTCCTATAAATTCAGAGGTTTAGATCCAACAGATGAGAAGAAGTGAGCACTTAAGAAATCCTCCTAGTTGAACACCATATAGATGTGCCACATTTTGGTACCTTTGTGGCAAGCAGATTGGCAGAAAGTTAGGGCATTGTTTATTCCTTCTCTTGCAAGGTAGCTAATATAATTTTAAAATGCACCAGAAGATATTAAATATCTTGAGCAGCAATTTTCTAACAGTTAATGTCTTAACTTCTTTCTTTAAACCTGAAGATGCATCTCCTTTTCTTTATCTATGGGTAACCATGCCAAGTGAATTGCAAAGTTCCCAATGTTTATCCAAGCATGCAGCTCAAATTGTTTAGGGTTTGCAGGCCACTACCCTGCATTTTACACTGGTATTCAAGGTATCTTTGTATGAACTCAAGTTCAAAATGTGTTTAAACACAGCATAGACAATATGCTTTAACCTGACTAGCTGCACAGGAATTTTTCATGTTAAAAACCAGCTTTTAAAGTTTAGCTTCATTTCTATATATAGTCACTGAACAGTCAGCAGTCACAATGATTTCAGTGAAGCCCTTCAATGAGGTAACTACTCAATACAATCAGCAGTGCACAGAGCCTGAAAGGGAGCAGCATATTACCTTTCAGGGCACGCCAAACTGCCTGCAAGGTACCCTGCCACTAAGCTATTACCAAGTACAAGCATACAATCAAACAGCATGAATAGTCCCAGTGATTTTAATGCAAGAACTTACCTAATAAAAAGATTAAATCTTTTTAAAAGCCTCTGTCAGATTGGAACTGCCAAACTCAGTATGTTGTAAACCTGAGTCTCATACTACAGCCACAGTTAAGCAATGGAACTGGTACTCCTTACTCTGTGATTTGCTGTCCTACTATCCTGCACCAACTCCATGCATATAAGTGAACATCCACTCAGACACAAGACATTTACAGCAGTAGAGAGGAATAAGGCAGAAAAATCTGTTTCAGTGTAGCAACTCTAGTAGCTGGATTTGATTTAATCTGCCATTTAGAGACTTCTGATGGTGAGATGCAGCCTTTAGTGGCCTCTTCACTTAAGAAAGGAGCTCTTGTTCATTGCATTTCCTGAGATGCCCTCCACTGAAAAAAAACTTGCTATTCTTGACTTTCTGTGAGTAAAACCCAACAGCCCCCTGAACTACACCTTTCTTTCCCACAGTAAGTAAGGGCATACAGAATGACTTAGATTTTTTATGACAAAATGAAAAAACTACATCAAAAGCAAAGAAGAAAAATAGTGTCTCTAAAAAAATCCACTGTCATTCTGCAAGAAATACTTTGTTCAGCAAATAAATGATTTAGAAGTTTTTGGTTTTGTTTTGGGGGGCAAAGAGGGGTGGGTTTGTTTGTTTGGGTTTCTTTAATACTGCAAATCCATTTAAGATATATATTAGATTTAAAATATCTTTAGCATTCCAAATAACCAAGGATTTCATAACAAGATGACAGTAAGACTCTGCAGGAAATTTAATCCGGTCTGGTCCTGTCATGTTCCCCAATCCATTGTTTTTGCATAAAATGGTTACTTATGAACCTGCAAATAAAACAGCACCCCTAGAAAAGGCTTCCTTCTAAAAGCTTGCACCAAATTCTAATGCATCTTCATGACAGGATACTTCCACAAATACATGGAATGCTAGTATTATAAGAATATAGACTAAATTTGGTTGAAACAAAAATTGTAAAAAATTTAAAAGATAGGCTACATAGGTTGAAAAGTAGATAAAAATATCTCTCCTAGCACTAAACTAAACAGATAATTTATCTCCGCTAGGGATTTCTCATACATTGTTTTCTAAATTTAGTCAATTAACCTGCACTTAGTACATGAATGCTCTTCTATAACCTAAGTGTACATGAAAGCTAATCCCCATCAACAATAGGTACAGTTTAGAGGGATTACTTAAACTGCATTAAACCTGCATACAGATATTCATTTTCAGATCAGCAGTGGCTGAAATGCAAAGGAATTAAACTAACCTGGATTCAATGGTCTCATTTAGTCTTCTCATAAAAACTATTCACCAATCCTGTCTGATTAATATGTATTAATCAAGGCTCCACCACAGCTTTGGAGGGAAAACTGGGCTAATGGAGCTGAAAATACTGTTTTCAATGTATAAACCTGGTTTTAGTAGATCTGACAATGACACAATCGTTTGGGATCCAGGAGGCAAAAGCACTTTTCCACTTAAAATGATCAGAAATCCCACCAGGTGTCACTCCAGTGACTGCTTCAAATAATGAGTGAAGAGGTGCAACACTGGGACTATCAAGCAGTAAGAAATACTCCAGCTCTATGTATTTTGCAGCACCACACATAAATACTATGCAATTTTAAAATATATAGCTATACATATGCACCAGCACACACATGTATACACTAAGTGGCATTGCAAAAGTCAAAAGCCAGGCTTAAAGGATAAGCATTAGGAATAGCACAGCTAAAGATGAAAGCAATCTCCAGGGTAACTAGAGCAAGATAAGGATTAAAGCATCTGCAGGGGGAAGAGAGGGGTGTTGGTTCATTGTTAAGTGGTTAAACACCAGCAGATAGGTAGAAATAGATTTTCAAGTAATTAATTTCGAAACACACACACACACACACACACAGATGCACTCATACTATTAAGAGCAGCAGACAGAAAAGATGCCAGAAATTTCAGGGTAATCAAAGTTTGTTCATAAAAGTAGCAATCTTAGAAAAAAAACAAAAACATGGTAGGAGCTGTTTAACTCAAAGTCTCAGTAAGTGGTTTAGTCATACAAAAAGTCTGAAAAATAATAGGGCCTCTTTTTTCATAAAATCTTTTTAGACTAATCCACAGCACAAGGCACAACTTCTGTAAATATCAAACCCATGCAGCTCTGGCAAAATGACTAATCATTTTAAGATGATTCCTGATGAAGGAGCTTTTTAATGTATGTCATGGCAGCAAGAGGGGTAAAAATGATCAGAAAGATGCACTGTGTAATTGCAATTTTGCATCTCACTAACACTAACATCTTAATGATCTATGCTCTCAGACAGGCAACTTCTACATGCCCTCCTAAATGCTGTTCAGGGCTCTGGCTCTTAGGTTACGACATCTTACATTGGGATAGCTGATGAAGGTTCACCATTCTTTGCCAATTCCACTCTTCTAACCACCGTTGTGAGAGTTGGTCATGTAGTACTTCCTCACTCACAGCAGCTCTTGGCAAAAGCCTCTTAAGCAGCAGAAAGCTGCAGTTTGCAATGTCATCAGCTGTCCCAGCATGAGCCCTTGCAGTGTGGATGGATGGCCATGCTCTAATACACAGCCTGTGGCACCTCAACCTCTCTGACAAACCTGACTAAAGCGTAAGTCAACAGTTGCATTTTATATCTCTAGGCTTTAGAGAAATATCAGGTCAAAGCCTGTTAATTTACATTCCTAAGAATTTTCTGCATTCTTACCTTAAGAAACTGTGAAGAAAAAAAAATCCACACATTTTTATACTAGTTTTTCTCTCCTATAAATAAAAATGACAGGAACGTGCATGTGACCCTGATTACCACACCTATCTCTCACACACCTCCCTAGTACCAATTCTACATGCTAAGCCATCTCTTTATCCTGTGTGCTAAGTAATCCTCAGATGTATATACAGAACTATATCTGATATTTTGAAAGATGCCTAGAGCTATTTGGATTTCTTATAAAAATAAATTAATGGCACTTAAGCACCCAAATCCCCTAGATGTTTTTGGGGAAAAATAAAAATTTTAAAAAAAATCTCAATCTGTGTTTCACACACATACCAAAATGAACATTCCATTGCTATTAAGGAGAGAAAAATATTCAACTGTTCAAATGGTTACATAAATCAAGACAGTCAGGCTCAACTGTCACCAGGTAACAAACATCAATTAAAAAGAGGAATACAAGCTTTTATCATGCTAGGTGAAGTGTTTCATGCTTTATATTTTTAAAAGTTGCACAGTAGAACCTAGAAATTAACACCTGCTTGTCTGTTGCAACTAGGATACAGCCACCAGCCCATTTGGACAAGAAGCCAAAGACAGTATGTCTTTACACAAACTATTTTTCATGGCCAAAACAGAACCAAAACTGAGCTCCAGTAGTGTAGAGGGAAGGCAGCAAAGAAACAACTTTAACTGGACAGGAGGTCACCAGAGAATAGCAGCCGAGTACTAAATGCAGGAGTTAGGGTAGCAGTTAACTTTAAGTCCCTTATCTGTGCTCACAGCCCAATACTGGGCAGCTGAAAGGCCTGACATCATTGAGGTCAACATCAAAGAGTAAGAACAGCTTTTTAAATTGCAGTTGTCAAGGATAAATGGCCATGAATAAATTTAAACAGGGGAGCAGAAAATATCTAATCATCAGAGGACAAGAGCTCTGGAAAAGCCATAGGGGCAAGAATCTAAGTCTGAAAGGAAGACTGATGATGCAGCAGGATTCTTTGCCAGCACAGTGTGAACAAGTACCTGCTATATTGCTGGTTCTACACTGCCTTGTTTCTTCAAGCAACCTTTCCAAGGGTGAAGCTAAGCCACTGTCAAATCAAACTAGGAGCAATTCACACCTACCTGGTACTTAGTACAGCTGAAAATGACAGAACAATCTGCATAGTAGCTGCCCCTATTTTTCTAGATGATTACAAAAAATGCACTTAACTGCTAGGCTGCATTTGACACAGATTTTTTTCATTGTGCCAAGCACTACTAAAATATTTCTCTGTGGTACAGTTTCACTGGGTTCATTAAAAGGGATCAGCCTTACTGATTTAAAGCCACTTGCATTCCAAGAACCAAAAATAGCTTTGTAACCCTGGTATCAAGGCTTCTCTAAGCTTGAAAATTAATTCTGATTAAAGAAAACAAGGTGTGAATTTTAAGCATAACTGTAACTATTCTTGAATAAATCCAGGTGTAGATATTCTCACTATGGAGTATGACTAAATCCACCTAAAGGTACATTAAGCAGGGGAAACTAGCCCAGAGGAACTATTACACACTGAAGATGTGATTAGAATTACCTTTTCTCTTATTCCCCATCTCTTAAATTCCTGGTTTTGTTCATTTCATGGCAATTTCCTTAAATGCACTAATTTTCTTAAAAGACCAGGAATGACTACAAAGGAAAAACATCACTCTCCAATCAGCTTGGTTTGACTACAATTCAGTACTGCAATGTAGAAGTAAATTAATAGAGCCATTTCATGGGATTTTTTTTAAAATTCAAGTATCAGCCAAAATGGGATAAATAAAATCCCAAAACAAAATAGAAATCCCTAAAACTGAAAAGACAGACAAAAAGAAACTCACATTTTAGAAGAACTTCCTTTAGTGCAGAAAGCTATTAAACAAGGCCTCTCTTTGAAAATCAGGCTTTAATTAAGCCAGGCTAGCATGAGCAAGCTACCAGAGATAAAATGAAATATTGTCACTTTATGAAATAAGTCATCCTAGTTTAGTTCAGTTCATTATATCAAGCTTTGTGGGGTTTTAAATAGTTCTTATTTCAGTGGATCTTTTCCCATTAATACACATGTGAAAAATAGTCAGGATGTTTGATAACTACACTCACAGAGCACTAGTGTATACACTTTACCTTTTAAATATACAGACTTAAAGAACTATTGGTATCATATTCTGACCACTGGCTCTGGCATAATTTTCAATACATGTCTCAGACTCAATCATTTATGTTATATAATTGTATCATCTCCCATATGACTGCTGGAAATCAAAATATTAAACTGTCTATGCCAATGTAAACTGAAGTTTCTGCTTTCAAAGTTAGAATAAATTTTAGTCACAGATACTTCCTTTACTACTGTATCCACTGATGTGCTACATCTACATTGACCAGTAAAAATCCTCTTAAGGTGGTTTAATGCCTTGTTCTCATGAACAAACCAAACAAAAACATATAAAAAAAAAAAACCCCCTCAGATCATCAGTAGGATCAGGTCCTGAAACCAGGGTGCAATGTAACTCTAAGTCCTTATTTCTGCACCATCCTGAGGACAATCGCATAACTTAATGCATAGAAGCCTCCAGGGTAACAGAACCTGGAAACCAAGAGATGCTGAAGGGGTATAACTATTCTTCCACAAAGAACTATTTTCACAGTGGTGAGGAAAAATCCACTATCTAAATGGGCAAGAGATAGCTTGTCTCAGCAGGGATGATGCTGCCAAGAATTCCATAACCCTCGTGCCACTAATAATTTTCCTCATAATCTAAACTTTTCTTGTATGAAACAAGTTACTTTGTACTAGGTTGAGAAAGTGAACTTAGAGGAAGGATTTAAATTTCCTGCCAAATTTATTCTTACTGTATAATTTATTTATTAGGCAATGATTTAAAAATAAATGTTTCAGCACTTGCTTTACAGCAGATTTGTGAAAGTATGATTTAGGATGGGTTCAGAAGGGGAGCTGCATTTCCTGCATGATAAATCACACTGAGCTCTCAGCATGACAGACATATGCTTAATTGATTATTCTTTTGCTTCCTTGAGTTTTAGCTATACTTGAGATGTCAAATTTGCAAGCCAATCAAGATATTAGAACATCTTCTGGGATTCCAATTTATCAAAGCCCATGCTTAACTTGAAGCATGTAGAAGAATTCCATTCAAAATCATCAAGGAAATAAGCAGGTTTTTGAAATTTCTGATATGAGACCCTTTATTATATTACAGATTTCCTTTATGCAGTTATCTGCAACAACTAGCATTTACTGGGACCAGCAAATACTGGGAATTCAAACGGGCACAATGGCTCTTAGTTTCATGTCACTAACATCAACAATTAAAATTGGCAACTATGAACCACATAAGCCAGTCAAATATAAGAGGGGAACTGGGGAAGGGAGGGAAATTACTTTTTTGCTGAAATTGAAAAAAGAAAACAAAAGCCTTACTTCAGAAATAGTAGTAGCCCCTGCAGAAGTTACAGAAATGAAGCACTCATTCCACAGGCAAAGCAAAAAAGGCTTCATCAGAAAATTTTAACAGGCATCAAAGAGCGGAAAACAGAGAAGGTTGAAGACTTGCTGAATGAATATGCACAGTTATATTTACATATAAAGATTAGCGCAAGGGCCTGAACTCAGTCATGCAAAAGAGGAGGTAGTATGCAAGGTGATGATCTAATCAAGTTCTTACCAGGGCTTCATAATCTTCTGCAATTTCTGATATCGTCTGCAAAATTAAAACTTGCACGTGAGGAAAAACACTTTAAAACATCTGTACTCTATTTACTGCATACACCCCCCCATACTTGATTCATAAAATTCACAGAGAGACACACAGTAAGAGGCAGTAAATTACTAACAATTTGCTGTGGACAGAAACAGTTCAGTAATTGGTAAAGAACATTCAAAATTAATTTAAAATATTTGTTCAGAATACTTTTGTCAACTTCTGTTAGGGAAAAAGAAAGCATATCTAGACATCCTAAATTAGTTAAGCATTTGTGTAAAAAGCCTTTGGTACAAAACAAAGGTTTACACATTAAGCTTTTTCTATTCTGTTGCTATGACATGTAGCCCATTGCCTGGAGAACTCTTATTTACTTGCAGGCTCCATCACTAGTACTGATGTCAAAGTTGTCAGCATCGTTGACCAACACAAACCAAAATCATGACCTTCTTAAGCTGTGGACAAGTTTCCTATTGGCTTCAAAGAGCAGCATAGAATTTACCCTGGATCTTTTAATACGAGTTGCATTTACTCAACAACTCAAAATCATCTTGCACCAGCTTCATGACATATAAATACACTGCAGCAGTGTTATTTCAACAGAATATGCAGTCTGATCCTTTTGCCCTTAAAATTCACACACCAATGGCCATGTCTAGTCCCAAGGTGCTGAATCAACCCACTTGAGAAAGACAATAACCTGCTTAAGAATGTCACTAATGTTCTAAGAGGCCAAGCTACCACCCAGCCTTCAGTGTGATGCTCGTGGTTTCACAGTACCTTCTGAAACACTTGGTTCCTACTCAGTGTGAAGCTTGTGGTTTCATAGTACCTTCTGAAACACTTGGTTCCTACTTACGGCAAGAAGTTTAACACACTCAATGAGGTTTTTTACTTAGGTATTTCCTATCTTTCCCCCCAAGAATAAAACTGTTTTGTTTTATTGGTGAACCAGAATCTATGAGCTTGTGGTTTCATAGTACCTTCTGAAACACTTGGTTCCTACTTACGGCAAGAAGTTTAACACACTCAATGAGGTTTTTTACTTAGGTATTTCCTATCTTTCCCCCCAAGAATAAAACTGTTTTGTTTTATTGGTGAACCAGAATCTATGACATTTCCTATCTTTCCCCCAAAGAACAAAACTGTTGTGTTTTATTGGTGAACCAGAATCTATGACATCATATTCCTATATTCAGGAAACTGAAAGTCAAATATTAATGGGGGAGGGGATGGGCAAAGAATAAGTGCATTTGAAAGCTGTAGCCCCAGTAATCAGAATTTGCAAGTCATCCCACTGCTAATAACTGGCTTCAGAACTGCTGATTATGCTACTAAGCAAGCTGAAGAAAGGACTATCAATGGTAAAAATGGCATCAAAGTTAAATAACTTCTTTTTAAAATGCCACTTAAACAAAAAAACCAAAAGGGAGAGAGAAGAAAGAAATTTTTAAAAAGTCTGTCTCCTACTTAACCCCTTCTTGTGTCTCCTAAATCTATTTCACAGTTTTATGTCAGAGTCTTGGCTGCAGTTCCACACTGGGCAGACTAGTGTCCAGAGGAGAACAAAGAGGTCCCTCCTGCCTCCCTCACCTTCTCCACAGGTCTTGCTGCCACATCAAGCTGCACAGCAATGCCATTCAGCTCACAACAGCTCTAGGGCTCAAAGCTCTCCAACCATTCTCTGCCAGAATTTGGCTAGATTTTTTTCCCTCCTTCTGGTACAGCACTAACTGCTCCCACTTTTACATTTTCCTCTTTTCAAGAAGGACCAGTCTCAGGGATGGCAGCTTGGGGTCTGGTTTGTCTAACCATCAGTGGAGAAAACAGAGAGTAAATCACCAGAACTGTGGTTTGCAATCCCTCATTGCTAGCTGTGAGCTGCAATACTCATGCCTGAAGATAGTGCTGGCATAGTTTACCATGTATCCAACAAAAGCTGGGCTACAGCCTAGCTCAAATTAGAAAAGTGACAAGATTTTCTTCTTGGATTTCATGGCTTTGGTCCTTTTATGCTACAACAGCTATCTGCTTATCCAGTAACAATGAAACAAACAAAAAGCATCCTGATGATCAGGCAGCCTTAACAAGTGGGGGAAAATACCCTCAACATGCTTTTTTGAGCATAAAAGTTCAAAGCATTTTCCACAGTAGGAGATCCCAGCATCAACAGAATGTCACTACTGTGCTTCTGCAAACAGAGTGCTTCCTTGCTTTGGCAGACTGCTAAACCACCAATAACAGCCACCAACACAAATGGGTTTTGTCATCTCTCAAATGTGTGTGGATCCTTGCAACCTTCTGCAGCACATGTCAGCAACACTACTTAGCATTCTTCTGAGACCAGTTTAAAAAAGAGCTGCTTCACATCCAGGTGCTGACTTTGGCTAAGCAGCAAGTACACTTGAAATTGGTGGTGTGTTTGTCTGACATCACAGAGAAACAAGTGTGGTATTTGCAACTGGTAGCACTTCAAAGGACAGACTCAGTTTTGTCAGAGATTTTTCACAACAGGCTATAATCAGGAGCATTTTTCTCCATGACTGAGCCAGGGATTAAAGAATAAACATCTGAGTCCTAGAACAAAACATTTAAAGAGCAACTCTCTTAGCATTTACAAAACTCTTATCCATCCTGAGTTAACTGGAAATCAGTTAACTTGTAGTCAAAAGATGTGCAATGTAAAAGAATATATAAATTTAAAATAATGTGCAGAAATAATTGAATTATATTAGACTTTTCCTGGTGAAGCAATACAAAGAAAATTTTGACTTCAGAGGAAAGATAACCATCGCATTAAACCAAACAATTTCTACTGATCTCTGTTGCTTTGGTGTGATTAGAGCAGCAATCAATCTAGGACATCAAATGTTGCAGAAACACAGTACAGAATAATTATAGATAGACTTTACCACTGAAGATGTGGAGGCTCTTCTCTAAAGGACTACATGTTATTTCCATCCATCATCGAACCACAACATAATAGAGAAGGACTTGGCATGAGCAAGAGTTCATCCCATATTCACCCACAGACCATGCTAAAGTTACAACTGAAGGAGTAGCCAAGCTAACTCTTCCAGCAAGTCAGCCTAGAAAGGAACTAAGTACAGGCCACCTCCATCAGCTTTCTTCTTTCTGTATACACATAACTGTTGTTTCTTCCAGAGGGCTGACTTTGTGGTAGCAATCAAACAGTTCCATAAAACCTTTCTTGGTGAGTTACCACAGGTATGGTCAAAAATGCTGAAAGCCTTACTGATCTAGACACTGTAATTATCTCAATACTTATATTTATCTAAAAAAAAAAAAAACCAAACAAAAAACATCTCTCAATTGCACTTGAACAGATTGGAACAAAACCACCACCAAAACACAAACGTTATGAGGGTAAATTAAATAGCAGTTGTGAAAAGTTCAGATTCTATAGTGGTGAAAGACAAAAACAGACAGGAATTTTTAAACAGGGAGAAATCTCAAAACAAACGCCAACGTAATGCAAAATAAACATGAACGACTAGTTACCGGGTTAGACATTTTGTTACCATAATACGTTCCCTGTTCGGCCTCAAAGGAACTTTGTGATACACTTCCAGCTGAATCCCTAGGGGCAGCAGTTCCCCAAGCCATACAGAATTACTACTTGCTCAAATACTGTAGATTACATCTCAAGCAGCTTCCAACAGAGACGAGCTTAGCAGGGCCCTGATCAGATCAACTCCTCTCTGTTCATGTGCAAAAACTGCTATATGAAGACCAAAGATTCCCCAAAACTAAACCCCAGCTGGGGTAACCCACAGTGCACAGTAAAGGCTTGTCTGCACTGGGAAGAAAAACTAAAATGCTGTCCTAATGGAGAAGCCAACGTAGACCCACTGGAGCTAATGATACCAACAGCTAAAGCAGTCACACCATTTCACCACAACCAACGTTTCTGAGCCTGCACTGTTTAAACACGTGCAGAGAAGGATAAAAGTACCACTGAGGATAAAAGCTTTTCATGCAGTATGATTCCAGAGAGGGTCCTTCTTAGCAAAGGTGGAAGATGTTTATAAAAGTTTCCTCCTATACAGAAAAACTGACATGATTATGGATTAATTACTTGCTAACAACAAGAAATCACTATCTGGCTACTGCTTTTCAGGCAAACACAGGGAGAACCCACATTCTGGATAACAGGCAGTGTTTAGGAATATGACAAGGAAAATACACGAGTATGTATTTCTGGCTTCTGTCTGTAATAGGTGTGGCTATCACATATAAATGAAGTCTGATAAATACTCTGACTTAACTGAAATAAATTATTTGGATGAAATCTGAAAAATTGCTATTCAGCCATGCAGCAGCACTCAGACTTCTCACAGTCACCACAACACCCCAGAGCCACCACATTCCGAGAGACAGAAACATCCTGGAAAATTGCAGAAGTGAGATTTTAAGCTCTACTCCTTATTTTTGCTGATTTCTCAAATACTACACTTCTGTCTGGAATTAACAACAACAACAAAAAATTAGTTTTGTCCAGCTTGGTACTCTGGAGAACATTGGGAAATATAAATCCACTGCTGGACTTACTCTTTATCACACTTTACAAAAGTGGTTACCAAACAAAACCCAGTAAAACTGTCTCCTCTCCTCGACCCTGTTCCTGTCAACAAGGTGTTAATATCACCACTTAAATGACCAGGGGTTATTTAAATGTTATTATTCTTAAACTCAGGCAAAGTAAGAAAAACAACACTGGGGATAAAGCATTTAGGATGGGGGGAGTGCAGGGAGCTTCCTTTCTTTCCTCCAAAGACATTATTTGTGACAGTTCAGTCTTCAAATGAGGCTTTTATTGAAAGCATACAGTGTGCACTGCACATATATAAAGGATATAAGAGAAATTGTACTTGTCTGCACTGAGAGGGAGAGTGGAATCCAAGTCTGAAGACTTCTGTGAAAACAAACCCAAAATAGAGCAAGCAGGAGAAAAGTAAACCAACGAAGCCAGTCCAGAA